GGGGGGGGGGGGGGGTAAATTCACCTGTTGAAATTTTAAGCATCACTGTCTTTGTTGAGCAAAAACATGATTCTAGTTTGATTGTTGCAGGTTACCATGCCAAATCTATACTCATGGTTTTTTTGTGTCTATGAAGCAATGGGAAGGATATTTGGAAGGCTGCAGTTCTTTGCATATTGCTGAGACTGCATTTTTGGTGAATCATCATACCACAACTTGATATATTAACCAAGGTTTCTTTTTACTGAGATTGTTTTTCAACTATTTTTGCGTAGTTTCTCTACGAAAAAATTGACTACCTATGTCGTCTAAAGGTATACTGTCTGCATTACCAACATTTACTCTCTAACATTAAGTTGAAGCATATGCCTTTTTGTTGACTACCTAATTCTGGCTTGATGTTGCAGGTCGACCTAAGATATGATCATGTGATTAATCTCACCAATTTAGAAGTATCTATCGTTATCCAATCTCAACACTTCATTTAACCAAAACTAAGAAAGTTAAATATAAATTTCTCAGTTCTCACCATTCAGTTTTTAACAATGAGCAAAATAGGTCTCACAAATCTAATCTCTGTTGTAGCTTGTAAGCAAAGTTTTGAAACCTGTTATGTAACAAGTATGCCTTTTAATCGGACAGAACAAAATCAACGAAGTCCCTCATTACTACTAGCATAACAGTGCATGAATTTTGCTAATCTAGGTAATTAATTATTTAATATTTGCAATTATATATACTACTAGAAGTTTCTTCCACTTACCAAAAATTATTCACAGAATTGTGCAAGCATTTGGATTCTCATCACTGAACACCTCCGCAGCGTGATACAAATCTCCAGCTGTCACCGACCTGCACGTAGTTGAGCACCGGTACAGATATTCAAACTCCGGCAGGTAAACACCAGTTCTGCTGTCCTTCACTGTCAAAATTTCAACATCTTTCCTCAGGCGATATCTCAGTGATTCCGCTAAAGATTTCACATCTATCGTTCCCGTTACAGTCACCAAATTCTTTTCCCAATCCATTTTCATCTTCCTACATCCTGTGCTTTAGAGAATTTATCAACACGTAGCGAGTCGAATTTTGTGGTTTGAAGTTGCACGAAATATATCAGCGATGAGTTCGATAATGATATATTACCTCCGGTTCGAGTGATAATTTTGTAAATCTGCTCATTGCAAGCGTCGCAGTTCAGAGGTAGTTTAAACACTGCAGTCGTCACTGAAAGCTGTTCGATCGGAAATTGAGCAAACGAGAAAAGTTGAACAAATCGAGAAATGAGAATCGGTCGATAATATTAGTAATTATAAGTAGTAGTAATTAAGATAGAAATTAAAGAATACAAGCTACGGAAAATTTGATTCCGAATCAATTCAATTCACTGGGTGAAACAGATAAAAATGCTTCCCGCATTTGACTAAAATGCGCACGGTGCAAAATGCGCCGGTAACAGATTAGTGACTAGTGATTTCAATTCCGTATTTAGCCCATATACGAACAAATTGAGAATCAATCCGTAATATTAACAATTAACATACTATGAATTAAACAAGCTATGGAAAATGCAATTCTGAATCAATTCAATTCAGTTCATAGAGAAACAGATAAAAAACTTTCTGCAGTTAACTAAAATGCTCAAGGCGTAAATTGCGCCGGGAACGGAGTAGAAAGTTGTCAGTGTGTAGCGTATTACCTCCTTGCATTTATGCTTCTGGTCAATCTTATTTTCTTCTTTATCCGGCTTAGGTGAAATAAGCGTCACTTTCTTGTTCAGTTTCTTCTCCATTTTCTGCCGGAGTTTCACCGGATCAAAATTTCTGACCACCGTCACCTTGTATGCCGTTCCATTTGTCTCTATCTTCAGAGACAAATTCAGGTCTTCTCAATAGAAATTTGAAAAAGGAAAATCAAAAAATAAATTTAAACAGAAACAAAAGAATATTGAAGAAAGTTTATTCATTAGAAATTTAAACATTAGATTCATCATTACCATGCAAATCGTGAGCGCATTTGAGAACTCTTTCGGAGCAACCTTCACAGGAACAATGCATGGCTATTTGGAGAATTGCGGTAACATTTTTGCCTTCTTCGTTTTCTCCCATTTCGAGTGAAACTTTTGTTTTTTCATACAATGGGATTTGGCTTTTACTGTCGTTTACTACTTATAAAATTTGGTTTTGGGCTTTTTGGCGCGAGGTTATCTTGTTTGGCCTGTTAGTCTGGTGCAGTTTCTTTTTTGTGGGGGGTTATTTTTTGTTCTTGTGTATTTTAGGCATTACAATTAAAAAATAACTAAAGAAAATACAGGATTCAGTGAGAACTAAGTGGTACAATAGTCACCTCTTTATTGGATAAAGAAAATGAAGAAAAATAAATCTTTATTACTGTGAAAAGCTTTCCGAAAAATAAACGCGTGAATATAAAAATTTCAAAATCATGCAATTATTATTAGACTATGTAAATGAATTACAAAATATTAAAAAACATAAACTCTTGAAAATGATGAATATTGATCAAGCTAAACCAGCTTAAAATTTAAAACATTATGTCATAACAAAGTATACTAATGCTTTATCATAACTCTGATATATGAGTTGTACATCTATTTTTATAGTTGAAACATAGTAGAATAATATGTTGAATTGTATTCATCTATCATGCAGCAAAATTTCTTCACGGCCTTACAAAAATGAGTTCTATTTAATCAAAAGTACTCTATCTAATATGAAATTTATCGTTTCTATGGGAACTCAAATGAAAAAATTTGAAAAACAAAAAGAGACTCCATATTATTTGGTGTAGTTATCATAGGAAGAATTTAATTGGATCAAAAATTAAATCCAACTGAAGTTTTTGTAGAAAGAAATAAAATGACTGTCACAGAACGTTATGAAATAATGCTTATAGCTATTTAGTGTCATTCATATAAATAATTATAATAGTGTTTAAAATACTTATGTTTATTTGCATATACATTTTAAGATATTTTTTGTGTGTTATAAAATAGAATAGAATTAATTATTAAAAATTTATTTTCTGGTAATATTCCAGTGGCATATCACTTGAGTTCAACTAATTAAATATTATTTCACGTAATTCACAAATGATGTCCTTGATATATGTTCTCATTTATTACTTAGATGGCTTTGTCATGAGAAAAATCTATTTTTAAATGAAATAATTTAGTAAATTGAATTTAAGGTGCATGTTAGGCGTGCACCTCATATCAATAAGGATAATATTTTTAAAAACTATATAAACATTCAGACAATAAACATGGATGAATTAACACTGATGTCTAGTAAATATCTTATAAAACTGTTATTTAATTTAATTTATATGACTTAATACTAAAATTGAAATGATATATATATATATATATATATATATATACTCTTTATCATGATTCTTTAAATATTAGTCAAACAACACAGATTTAAAGATTGAATCTTTTGGTGGTCTAAAATTTGTGGGAATAAAAGGGTTTGATTCGATAGCTCCTAGAGAAAAAATGAATAAGTGGTAATATAATGCTAAAAATAATAAATTGATCCAGTATTCTACAATAAATAACTCAACAATTTGAATACTATGTATAAATGTATTATGTATATAATTCATATTGTATAGTTTTAAAATAATATGGAGAGAACTATAATTATGTTATTTTGTTCATAACACTTGTGAAGATATGTAATACGATGATAAATTCTTATAACCAAAAATAAATTGATAATCAATATAGTCTATGTTTAAACTACATAATAATGTTGCACCTTTCGTGTGAAAATCATGTATACATTGTCACGATTCAATTTTCACTATAGGCCGTGATGACATCCAACATCGCCGCTAGGCAAGTCAACGGAGAACTAACCATGTAATTGTTTCTTTTAAAGATTTTAAAGTAGTTGATTTTATTTATTAAGAGGAAGATCAATAGAAAATTATAGTGAAGTAACGCATAAATTAACGAAAGAGTAATATAGTGAATTTACAATTCAAAACCATAAAATGTCTACTAGACTAATCCCAAAACCCGATATCACAAATGTATGAGCAACTAGTAGAATATACAAAAACCTCCTATATTACTGTCTGGAGTAAGATAGACAGAAAAATAAATACAAAAGAGAGACTGTGAGCGC